TCGAAAATATCACTTTTTACCAAAAATGACAAAAATATTCACCAAAATTAGAGAATTGAAGATATCAACATGAAATGAACAAACCTAAGAGAGGTCTACCCAAGGTACATATACACCAAGTATCAAAGCATTCAGGCTTGTAGTTTTCAAGAAGAAGTCGAAAAAGTAAAACATTGACACGGACGACGGACGACGACGACGACGGACGACGACGGACAATCACTCATATGATAAGTTCCGCTCGACAAAGTCGACAGCGGAGCTAAAAATAGAGTAATGTTTACAGTTGGAAATTCTACTATGCCACTCTTCATCCAAATATATCTAGCTGCAATTCAAATTAAGTTAATTCAGATGCCGATTGGAGATATAACGGTCACATGATCGCGAGACGCTCCTTTAACTTAGCAGTATATCGTACCCCAATGTCTCATTAGATGAACTGTCGAGATACGCAGCAAAGTACTCGGAACAGTTGATCGGCGCCGCGGTTGCTGACATGGTAGTGTTCGGGGCAGCTGCCCAATCAGGGAATGTACCCAAATCAAACTGCCACCAGCCTATAGTATTGATACCGAGATTCACCACTAAAATACATAGAAAATTCATCATGGCACCAGTACTTGCCTGTATGAGAAAAAAAAATCGGAGTTAAAGAGAGTCTTCACTTGCGCACGCACGGGAATTTAGTCTCAAGTTAAAGTGGGAGAGTCTTCACTTGCGCACGCGCGGGAATTTAGTCCCAAGCGACGATAACACACGCTAAAAAGGCTCATGGGTAGACGCATGTTTGTAAACAATGACACGCTATGGCCAATTGACGCATGCGCAGGTGACGACTCCCCCGCTTTAATTAAAGTAACACACGTAGTCGTGTTCAACGAACACTTTCGAACTGACATTCCAGATAAAGTAAGCCTGCCAAAACGACTTTGAAGCAAAGAAGTTGTCACAAATTAAAATAAATATTGTTTGCATAAACGACCCAACCTATAATATCCGACATTCGATCAAACTAGCGAACGTGTTACGTTTCGTCCAGCGTGACCTGTTGGGTACATTTAAAATTACCTTACTTTAATCTAAAATTTGGCTGTGAGCGAGTCATTCAGTTTAAAATTACAACACGTCCAATCTAACGTTCTACGAATAAGTCCAAGAAAAAAATTTTGTACCCCGAAAATATGAGTGCAATTCACTTACCATGTCAACTATAGAAAGGGTACCATACGCAAACACAATTGCGTTAGGCGGCGTTGCTACTGGCAACATAAATGCAAACGAGCATGCAACCGTAGCTGGCACCATGAAATAAAACGGGTGTACACCAATGCTCGTTCCCTGAAAACAAAATCTCGGGAGTTAATATGTTTAATATGGGAGGGGCACGGGAATAGAGAACAATTGAGACCGCTTTTGAAGGCACGTTGCGCAATGGCATATTTCCAAAAAGTTTCAATATTATTTTAATGGCGAATAGGAATCTCTCGTTTGACGTGAAATTTATAAATATTTATGAAAATTAAGGGAGTTGATTTGTTGTTTCTATAGTATATAATAATGAGAAAATAACAACATTCAACAGAATATCACACATCGAGAAAGCGTCTAGAGAGAAAACATATTTGGGAACACGTGTTGATTGGTTGAACGCACATTAGTAAAATACTTACAAGCTGACCGAGAATCGGTAAAAATATCGACGCAGTTGACGTATTGCTAGTAATCTCGGTAAACATGGCGATGATGACAGTGATTATTAAGACCATGGCGGCCGGTGGTATGACAGCAAGTACTACAAACTGAGAGCCAAGCCATTCAGATAGCCCAGATTCCTAGGAAACAAGAATTACGATGATTTGGGGCATATGAGCGTACGATTTCGTTGAGCAGCAATGAGTCGTATTATCGTATTATGCAACTATTATAAACGGTAATATATAACGACGCAAAGTCATAGGGGCTAGATACTGAAATGATGACGGTACGTGTGTATCCTCATATTGCTTTAATTTGATATCGGTTCTCATTTGAAAGTACAATTTCGAGTTTAATTGTCGTCATCTTACGATACTCACCTTACAGGCCTCAGCCAGTGCGAATCCACCGCCCAATAAGATCACAACATTCCACGGTAGCTTTGTATTCACTGTATGCCAGTCCAATAACGCTTGCTTTGGACCTGCTACCGAATCATCTGAAAACAACAACGCAACACATAACTACACATGCAGAACAACTACCGAACAACTTTGATGTAGCAAACAACGTACGTCGAATAGTTGTGTCATAGTATTCAACGATTACATGTATCAACTTTAATATCGCGGCAAAATCTTTGACCCTATAAAGGTGGACGTATAGGTTGGCGTCTTGTGAGTCAGTGTTCGAAATTACCAATGGTCTTGTGCCCAAAACATCGCATACTCAGTTTGAACCACAAGATTTACCTTTCAAATATTCCAGATTTTCAAATGCATGCAACTTGAGAAACATTTTGGACTGTGACTCGGATGGTGCGGCTGACAGTGTTGGTCAATGGCAGAGAGTTAGTACGAGATTGTGCGCAGAATTTATCTGATTCGTTGACAAATCACGTCAGAGAACTGCCGAGCGTGATCTACATAGATATCTCGTCAGATCTAAGACAACCCCTGAGGTCATATGTAGGGGGGGGCAAACCGGTGATCGCAGATTGAAAGCAACTAGAGCCACTACCGAAATGGTATTATAATTGGCCATTCATGATAATTACCAACCGTGGATGGCATACCATACCATGGGCAGGAAAACCGTACTGCGGCATACATGTGACAGGCTACATTCACGTCAGCGACCTACCTTGACGCATTCTAAGACAACCGAAGTTTGGAGGACGGGCAGGAAAACAAAATAGTAAAATGAGACAAACACGCCTGCAGTAGAATCGGTAACATACCTAAAATACGACGAAACATTGACATTATATGTATATGCATGAGTATTCCAGTCCCAGTTCGGATAATAGCTATATTCATATTTGTAATGACTTTTATGAGTATCTTACAAACAATCGAACTTGATTGAATTGATTCAGCGCGCTTAAAGAAAAATAAATCCGTAAAAGGTAACGCTAGAGAAACAAAACAATGACAGTCATTAATGTTTTTAAAAAACGTACACAACTTACCCGGGTATAAAAGCCGACACCCAACCAGGGGCAAATTTTGGGTCACGTGACAACCATAGAAACGCTAAAAGAATGAAGTGACCAAGTACAGCTTTTTCAGCCCACCTAAAATTTAATGAAGAAATGGTTATGGTATGTTGGGTCACATGACCGGGATATTTAAAGTGTCGGGTAGAGGTTTTGGATACCAGTCTAGACCAGTCTCACCACAGTACAGTTTGCAATTTAATTTGTTTGAAATTATGTTATTTTATTTGTCGCCTTCCCTGGGCACGCCACCCAACAGTGCGACGGGTGCAGGTTTCCAGAAATGTTTTGTCAAAATTCCTTTAGAAAAGGATCTTTTTATTCCCATTTTTCCCTATTCGGACGGCGTGCTAGAACAGGAGCTTTTTATTTTTGTAGTGATTGTGTGATGAATTTGTTTACGCGTATCTGTTAATCGACTTATTTAGCTGATTACTAGCGAATGACTGTGTTATGTCTGCCATCGTTAGACTCATGCGAGGTCCTGGATGGAACTCGACTCAGTGATTTTGAACTAATTGCGATATAACCGTCGCTATTCGGACTACTATTTCTAACAGTTGGTATTCGCAGTTACTAATATAGTGAACGATTAATCAAAAGATATGACGTATTCAGTACTTAGTGTGATTGGCTGTATGATTGAAGGTTACGCCCTAGAGTCTTTTAACTGCTTTGTAATTGGTTAAGGTTTTAAAAGTAAATAAAGTTGTTTTAGTTGGTCTTGGCGAGTACACCAGTTTAAGGCAGTCTAAGGGCAGTCTTGGGCTAGTCTTGGGTCAGCCTTGCTATAGTCTTGGGGACTTTTCCCCAGGGCGCTGTGTCTTATAGAGTACTCGACTGACTGACTAAAACGAGAGTTGAAACGTATTTGTTGTGTGCGTCTATTTGACTGTAAAAGCTTAAGTGACATTCCCGATCCCGTACCTCAAGGGGACGCGATAGAGAGACGAGACGATATTTCCCCCTAACACGTGTGGAGAACCCTAGAAGAGAAGAATTTCCCCCTCATAATTGCATCGTAATTTGTTTCCGTTATTTCTTTCCCTAATAATGTTAGTTGCATTGGCCGAGTGCCAGTGTTAAATTTTTCACACCCCATGTCGGCTTTTTCAGTGTTCAGAATTTTTTTTCCATTTAGTTTTCTTTCAAGTAGTATATCTGACCAGAGGCGACGGAACGAAATTTTTCTGCTTACCAACCTCGCGCCGAAGACGAGACCTTACTAGGGGCCCGAGGACATGCTCCCCCTTAAACATTTTGAAATCCAGACCCTCTGAAACGCTATTTCCTGCATTTTGAAAGGCAAATTTTGCTGACACAAAGGATTTCAGCGTGATTTTGGAGTAGCGACTCCCCCAACATGTTTTCGAGGGGACCGCCCCCTCTGCTCTCTGCCCGTCCCCGTGCCGCCGCACTGCTGACGAAAGACAAATGCGCTCTCAGACGACAGCTAAAGTCCCAGTTGTTGATATTAGGCTGAGGGCGAACATCACTGGAAAACGAAACAATAAACTCTCATAAATAAAACGTCACACTTACGTCATCGGTCCAAGCTCATCATATTGTTTTTGTATAACAGCAGTAACGGGGTCATCTGCTTTTCCTTCTGTTCTTTTTTTACAGCAGCAGCAATTGCAAGAACACGCTTGCCGACAGCACTGACCTATTTGGCCATGGACACACTGGCTAAACCATCCACGAAGAATTTTTCTGGAAACAAGTGTATTGCAAATGCTTGTTTAACACGATCTTATACGTCTCTATATACATCTTATCAATTGGCGATTAATTCGATGGTATTATATAAAAGGATGGTTCAATTTTATCGATTTTTATTTGAGATACAATTTGAAAAACCATAGTTCTTCTGTGTCAATAACATCCCAATATCCCAAACTTGACAACAACTTTAGGGACACGAAATGCATCAAAAATTACTAAAATACCACTACTGTAATTGCTATCCAATTATCTGGGCGGACATCCGGGCATTTTTACCGCCTGGCACTGGCACCATCACTGCGAAAACAAAGGCCGAAAACTCCCAGAAATCTGTACTTGAACACTTCAAAATAACTTGAAGTGTTCAATCAGCCAATGGGGTGATCGGTATTGAATTGCACTTTGTGTATTTGTTTGTTGAGGGTCAACAACTTACTCACCTCAGGTTCAAGTAAACAACTCCTAACCACAACCATGCCAGAAATAGGCACACCAGCATACCAGGGAAAGCATACATGAACCACGAACCAAAGTCAATAACCGCGTCGGGTCCGTACAGACTGTGTGTAAGAAATTAAATTTAGTTAGCATAGTGACGATAAGTGGTGACAGGGACGATCAGCTTTGCCGTTGAAGCATAAGAGTACCCAATGAATACCCAGAGATATATGGGTTCAAATATCCCATATTGGTCTATGGTCTGAATACAATATGGGTATATGATTGATATATACCTATGTTTCTTATACTTCATGGTTGTATATGGTTAATATACCATATATGAATATATTCTTCATAACATTTTTGGTGCGTGATTCATGTACCATATATATGGATCTACGGTCATACCAGATACCGCACTGGCGAATGAACGTTCTGTTTACTAAATGTATCGATACAATGCGACACGGATAAATCCGACTGACCAAACCAAATGACCTGCCTTTCCACCTGTCCACTGATGACTAAGTTAGGACCAGTTCCAGTGAGTGTAGCTGTACCACCGATATTAGCAGCATACGCGATGCATAACGTTATGCCCTTAGCAAACTTTTTT